ATAATGTTATTCAGACTTTGAGTTTTAGGAAAAGATTGCTTGTGGTATGTTTAAAAACACTTCAATGCTTATAAATATAACACTCTTATGATTTCTAATCGTTTTTCTCCATACATTTCAGTTTCATTTCTGTTTGCTGTAGAATATGGGCAGTGGTGTATACGTCATTAGGATAACAAGAATGGGTGTTCATTTGCTGAATACAAGCTCCTTTCAGCGAATGTATGTGAGTCTCTCAGTTCAGCATGCAGACCTTCTTTTAGATTCCTGAGAACAAATATTTTAGGTATAAAGCATGAATATTTACATATATCGAGCCATTGGCTATTGCTTATGCATGCAATAGGGAGATAAGACTGTCTTTAGTCTGTGGGTAGTTTTCTAAATGATTCATTAACCATGCTTTGTAATGGTAGATGGATGTCACATATTTACTGTAATAACTGAAGATTAATGTATGTTACTCCAGCTTGTTTAAGCACTATAATAGTTGTGTTTATAGATACAGGTATTCTTTGCATTATTGTTGAAGCTAATATTTCAGCAGGAATAAATTGGAATTAATTGAATTAATTGTAAGATAAAATAATGAAGCTATAACAGAAGTATTTCTGAAACATTATTTGTGATGTAGGAGTTGCTATAATGGATATTTGTTGCTGATATTTTGTAGGAGGGGTTATACCAAGCCTTTTGGTAAGCAGTGTTTTGCAGAAACTGGCAAAGCTTATGCTGTCTTCCCAAGCAACAAAGCATTTCTTTGTGAAATCTGTCAAACTAAAATACCTCGTACTTTGCTGATACATTACCATAGTGAGAAAAGTAGTACACCAAGAAGTCATTTTTAAAAGCAGCAGTCTGATGAAATACATCCAGAAATTGAAATATGGGTTGCCTTTAATTTACAGAATCGCAGTCTTTAAGTTCTGTCACAGACAGTATTTTTTTTCCCAATGTTCTAAAGATAGAATATTCAAATTATCGGTGGCTAAATTATCGGTGTCTTATCAACAGTAACTGCAGCTTATTCTTCTTCAGAGATACTGCTATCCTCTGTATGGAACATGGTGATGCAGTATTGAGAGTCTAGCAGGTTGTTGCCAAAAAACGAAAAACAAAACCCCAAACCCAAAACAAAATCCCTCTTTATCCCAGTAGCATGTGAATGTCATCACACATGACGTTTGCACTGGTATATTTCGAGACCAGTAGTAGCTGCCTAAATTGGGTCAGAGAAGATACACAAAAGCAGAAGGATGTTGCTAATTTTAAGTGGCATCTATAGAGGTGTAATATTAATCTTCAAGGGATAAGAGTTTATTTTGTTCTAAAAAAATTGACTTTGGGGTTAAGTCACTGTTGGATTTTCCACCTTTTTTTTGCCCATATCCAGAGAAGCCCTTGATGATTTAGACAGACTTACAGCCTCCTTAAATATTTTTGTAGAATTGAATTACAGCCCAATCCTTTCATGTGTTAGAAAATGTTATTACCAGTAATAAAAGCATAATGAAAGTTAACTGTGTGCCCAGGTAACTAGAGCATCTATTTCAAAGATGTTCATATTGTGATACAGGTACCGAATTAAAAAAATCTAAATCTTAGGGTTGTGGATAGAAAAAAAGACAGCGAAATGGCATGTTGAAATGTAGTCTTTGAATAAATAATGTTGCTCTTATGTAATCTGCTGCCTGACGTGGGATCAACAACTACTTAATATTAAAACCAGTCATCGACAATAAATGTCCCAGTGCATGCGCACTGAACTCTTAACAGTGGATATGAGCTTCAGATGTGTAGGGGAGAGGGCAGAATGTTTGGAAAGGAGAGCTAGGGCTTACCTTTTTGTTACCATCAATAATTCCAGTGTTTACTAATGATGTGGATCAGTATGTACATCTAAAATAAGTGTTATCCCTTTGTGCCCATAAGAACTTTGAATGCAAGCTCTGGTGCGTATCTGCCTTTGCACAAAAGTCACTCTGTAAATGGAGACTTAAAATTATGCAGTAAAAAAAGAAATTATATCTAAAATACCTTATCAGAAACGTATTTAGTAATTCTTCAGCATTTGCCCTCTATACATTATATCTCTTCATATATATATATATGCGCATAGCAAATCGATTTTCAGTACCCTACAACTTTGCAATAATTTGAAGAGCAAATAAGTGCCTTGATTTTCCTTTCTAATATTGAAAAAATCAGGAAAACCTAATTGGTGTTGAGTGAGAATAACTGGGAGAAAAACTGGCACCTGGTGCAACATTAGTTTGTGCCAAGATAATTTTGATGAAGTATTATAGGAGGAAATCTACTTGTTCAAGAACAGATTTTTATAGAGCAGCTTAATGTTCTGAATGTGCTAAATTATCGGAGTTGGATTCTGTTTGTTTGCTTGGTGTGGAAGGTAAGCATGCTGAAAATGTAACTAAAAAGCATTTGCAAAATGAGTAAGTAGGACACCAGCCAGTTCCAAATTCTGTTTTCTTTCACAGATTTTAAAAGATCCAGCGTTATTGTTTATTGTAGGGGACTATAGATAGCTTTTGTGTCTGTGGCTAATAATAGATGATGTACCTTCCTCAGTGCGCTGTGCTGAAGTCCTGCTTCTGCTGTAACTGAAACCAGTGGTGTGGTATTCATGTCGGCTTTAGGAGGGGCAGGATCAGCCCCTAAAATTGTGGTTCACCTTGTGGGGTTTTTATGTTGGAAAGGATATGGTCAGATGATTTTAAATGTACACAGGAAGCTGCAGTTAACCATATCAGCCGCTTCAGTCATCTTCTGACTACGTCTTATTATCAGAACTGGAATTTTCCCCCCAGTTTTAATCAAGTGAATGCCGATACAGGATACACAAGCACCCAGTGCTCTGTTGAAGCACATTAGCCTTGGGGTGCAGAACCCCATCCCTGCAGCGGGCTGTTGGCAAAGCTCAGAGTTGGCGTCAGTGTCTGCGGTGGGGTCACGGAGGTGCTGAGATCAAAGGATGCTCTTCCAGCTGGAATCCCGAGCTAACCAGATTTAGCAGCATCTGATCTGTTTAGTAGTATGTGTGAATAAATACATATATGATATCAGACTGAGAAAAGAAGGGATGGCTGATACTGGGTAAAAGAGAAAGTCTTGAAGGAAGGGTGTATGGGGCTGGTACAGCATGACAGAGATGTCAGCAGTGCTGGGTTCCACGTGGCTGGCAAAACTGGCAGGGGGATTCTGGTTTCGATGTGCTGATTTCTTTCAAGAAGTTGCTATTCCTGCAGCACTTATTTTCACAGTGATCTTGCTGTGTTGCTTAAGGCCTTTCTGTTAACTGCAATGTGGAAAGGTTTCTTTTTGTTTAAAACCAAGTTGGCTATTCCTGGGTTCGGTAATAAAGGTAATTCATAACTTACTTCCATTGATGAAAAAGGGGATTGTTTCCTAAATGTGGCATTAAACTAGCACTGCAGCATTTCAATTAAGAAAAATAAGTAAATAAAAAGAGAATTGACCAGAATATGACCTATTCTGTGTGAGCCTCCCTCATGCAGTTAATTTTAGTATAGACACCCCTTTTTTGGTGTGTGTTCCCCCCCCCCCCCCCAGTCCTCCTGATTTATAGGCCTAATTTGTCACAACATGTACCTCCCTGGATTTAAAAAAGAAAGCAAATTAAGTCTTGGGTAATTACAGTAATTACAGGATCGGATGAACACAAGGTTCAGTGTGTGTGGTGTCTTAGCCCTCAGTTCTCCCTGTTTGTCCCTATCCCTGGGCAGTGCAGTCTCTTGCCCAGAGCATCAGTTTGCATTATTGACTCTTGGAGCCTTTGATGGAGAGAGGATGAGCCCATCCGAGGGATGCTCTTTGATACGAAACACCAGTGTAGCTGCACATTGCACTCTCCACAATAGGCAGCAAAAGCCACCATTTGGATTGCTTTAATTTACCTAGATTTGAGGCCAAGATGATGTCTGAGGCTAAGATGATGTCGTCCCCTTGTCATCGCTGGTGACAGAAGGCAGGCTGGAAGCCATAGTAGAGGCATATACCTCCTATAGAAAAGACTTGAAGTACCCATGTTTTTTCTGCTTCCTTTGCCTGCGAGGTTTTTGGATTTAAACTTATCTTCTGCAGATAAACATGCAGGCAGCTTTACTCATGTGACTGGTGGCACTGGTGACAATGGGGCTACTGTCTTGCACGCACTTTGCAAAGCTGGGTTTCTTTTTTGTCATTTTTTTGGGGAAGGTCTATTTGAGTCTGTTCAGTGAAAATTGGGAGTTTCACATTTCCAGATAGACGTGCTTGTTAAAATCCCAGCCTGCGCCTGATAAACCCTGTCTCTGATTAAACCTTTTTGATTCCAGTAAATATCTGAAGACCTTTGTATCTCTGAAGATTGCAAATCCAGGGCTTTATTATTTAAAGAGGTGTCAGTTCGTTAGTGAAAAATATAACTGGAGAATATAGGTCATCACTGGAACTGGTAAATGGTATGTCTTGGGACACTGAGTTTATTAATTGAAAGCAGTCTGAATGACAACACGTTGCAGATTGACTGTGCCTGGTTAATGTTGTTGTCATTGCACTCTCTGATACAGTTATTAAATAGGTAAAATATTTTACCTTTTCATATGGAGCCATACACTTACTTCATCTGATTTAATGGAACTATAATTTTAATTACGATTATTACCTTAAATTATAATTAAATTTATGTGGTTTAAATTTACATTTGTGAAAATGGCTGTGTGATGAAAGCAGAAATCAGCTTCGCATTAACAAAAAAAGAAGGGTTTTTTAACTGCATCTTAGTATGTGCTCACAGCCAAAGACTAGCATGACCTACTTTGCAACAATAACAGAGGAATCAAGCCGGGTTTTTTTGTTGAAGTATCTAAATTGGCCATGAATGCTACCTACTCATTCGTTTGTAAGTATCTTTAAAAATAGCTATTGTATCTATGAAACTTAAGGGGTTTTTTTTCTCTTTTCATTTTATTTTCATGTAGATAATTAGCACCATGGAGCCTCAGGTGTCGAATGGCCCTACTTCCAATACAACCAATGGACCCTCCAGCAACAGTAGAAACTGCCCTTCCCCCATGCAGACAGGGGCTGCTACAGATGACAGCAAAACCAACCTCATAGTCAACTATTTACCCCAGAACATGACCCAGGAGGAGTTCAGGAGTCTCTTTGGGAGCATCGGTGAAATCGAATCCTGCAAGCTCGTGAGAGACAAAATTACAGGTAAGCACTTCATGATGTTATCTTCATGTGCGTCAGGGTCAGTTTACATCTGGGGTCAGCAGAACCTTGGTGCTTACATTGCAGGTGCTTAGCACAGGGAATGCTGCAGATACTGTGGTAAACCTTTAGTTTTCAGTGGTACATAAGAACTGTAAGAGAAGACCCTTGTCTTTCAGCCTCCGTACAGATCTGAGGGGAGGTATGAACATTGCCAATCTTTGTGCATGTGACACATTGTGCAGCTTCTTGCCACAGAGCTCAGATGATCACATTACCTTCCTGATCCCTCTGGGTTTTATTTAACATTGACCTGAGTTGTAAAAGGGTAATCTAAAGGGCTTGAGCCAGCTGACCATTCCTAATTCTGACTACTGCCTTTGAACCTTGCCATACCTTCATTTGCTTATTAATGCTGTGAAATCAGGATGGTTCTGCATGCCCATCATGGCTTGTTTACCACGATGCTATGCACAGCAGGGCTCTGTAGTTGGGTACCACTGCTCTGGTTTTCATTCTGACATTTGTGGATATCTGTTAATGAACTCTGTTCCCTGAAAACATTTCAGTTTGCTGTGATAGTTTCCCACATGAAACAACACCCATTGGTAAGGTGCCTTCAGAGTAAGAAAAGCCTGCCCTTACAGGTCATATCTCAAACAGGAGAGATGTCTGCACTACCACTAGAGGAGGTGTGGACAGGTGTAGCCTGCTCTGTATCATTGCTGCCTCAGCCAGGGATTCACTGATGCACAAGAAGATGATAGGATGAACAGTCAGCTTTTATAGCTTGCTTTATAGGTTAGTTTTATAGGTTGTGTGTCTGCTCGCACCGTAGGTGGGGAACAGCTGAAATTTCACTGCTGTTCAGTGCATCACCAGTGCTGTTATGTTTAGCACAGAGAGCAGCAGCCTCGGGAAGGAAAGGGTTCCAGAAAAGGAGCTCTCTCCTCTAAGATGCACTCCTGGCCACTTGGGTGTGCGCTCTGGAAAGAGGCACCATGTAAAGATGAGGAATTCAAATGCAAATCTTCATACCTACTTCCATAACAGCCTGGCAGCTGTTGTTATTGGCGGCATTAGGAGGATCTGCTTAATGCTTTTAAACATGCAATGCTTCTTTTTTATTTACTTCCTGACATACAGCAATGTTCTGCTTAACACAAGGCACATAACAAATGGCAGTAGCTGCAGGGCAGCTCAAGTTCTCAGAACTGTAGTCCGGCAGAGCTTTCTTCAGCACATTGACCATGATGTATCTATTTCAGTATCTCTTCTGATTTGGCCACAGCTTCAGGGGTGTTAAAAGGAAGATTGCAAAATGGAGTTGACTTTTATTTATTCTTCAGGGGTTTTTTTCCTACTTAAAACCAAATTGCTTAAGCTCCCACTCCAAAATTTGCCATGCAAATAACTGAAGTCCTGTTCTTAGGGTAGCTGGCCCAGTATCCCGGTGTGACATAGCTACCTTGATACCTGCCACCAGACCAGTTTAGCTCCGTACCATTGTTCTTTTAGACTGAAAATAATCTGAGGAATTAAATTGCAGGTTACTTCAGTTATTTCAGACAAAAGGGAATACCTAACCCTCATCTGCAGGAGGCTAGTGTGCCTAGCTTGAATTTTGATCATGGCAGGCCCAGTGTTTCATGAGCTTTATTGCTTCTTGTATCCCTCAAATTCATGGTGGGTTCCCTTGCAATATAGTTTCAAGACTTTAAATATTGTGTTGTTTTCAGGGAATTGGCTGTCTTTGGACAGAGAGCCATTACTTCATCAGCTAGGAACAGTATTCTTTTTGTTTCATTCCATCTCAAGGCTTTTGTTTCTATATTTGAAGATGTGAGAAGTTCGCTATATGATTTTCAGACATTTCTTCAGTGGTTTTTTTGCCTGTGCTTTTTCTTTCCATACAAAGTGTGTAAATCTTCACGATCAGTAAAATACTTTAAAGGAATCATTCTTTATAATAATTGGGTGCTTTGAGGACAAAAGAACCATATTCACAAAGAAAATTCGCCCTTCAAAGCGTCGGTGCCATTTCTGAAAACAGAATTTAATCTGCCAAGGTTTTCAGGCCTGTTATCAAGGCATTGTGCAACATTGCTAAATTTTAGGATGCGTGTTCATTCCTCACATTGAATTCCAAGTTAGCAAATCGAACGTGGTCCTCTGCCAGACGCAGTCCGTGTTTTTAAAGGTTCTTAGAACATTGAGAGTAACAAAATGGAAATGCACTGAGGTCATACCCAGCTCATCTTTCCGGATCGTCATGTAAGTGTGTTCTTCATTAGGCTCTCTGAGATTTTATGGGTGTTATTGGGAGGGGAGGGGTGGAAGTATGCCAGTAGCCTGTTACAGGGATGACTGGCTTCTCAGGGGTGTTCTGCTTTTTCATCCTTATTAAAAATCAGTGTAGATTTTCTGACAAGAGAAAGCTGTGTTACAGAAGAAACAGTAAATTCTTACGCTGTTCTTGCTGAACTGGTAGAAGTCTGAAACGGTTTAGGTTTCGTCTGAAACAATTTAGGTTTTGTCTGCTTTGGGGTTTTTCATTTTTTCTGTTCAAAACTTTGGTTTTTATACATCTCCCCTAAGTGTGCACTGTTGCCTGTGCCTCTAGACAAACAATGGAGCTGTTTCTATTAAAAATGCAGGTTGTCTTCATAGGTAGTGAATTTGTCTCCTCCTTGCTAAGATAAAATATCAGGTAAATGAAGGAAAGCCAAAATAAAAAGATTGCTTCCAGAAAAGTAGAGAAGGTCATAAACCAAAAAAAAGTCATTAAATAGTTACCCTGGCAAAATCATATTAGAGAATCTCAAATGTATTTCTGGGGCTAGATAGGATTGAATTGCTTCATGGAAAAGATTAGATTTCCCCTGTCCTGTTAAAGAATTGTACAGATTTTTGTGAAATAATGCTTTGGCTTCCAAAATACTGTGTTTTTTCCAAGGAGTTCAAAGCTAAACAAGATCTTCTAAATATAGAGAGGATCCCTTTGAGAGGTTTTGATCTGAACTTTTGTATTTATTTTAAAATCAATTAAACAATATACGTCAGGAATAATCTGCCCCGAGTCTTTCTGCAGGCTTAGAACAGTAGTAGGGTTTTTTAAGAAAATGGATTCATGATGTTACCCCTCGCTTTGGAAAGACACATACTTAAACAGGCATATTCCTTTACTAAAAAAATATGCTAATTTGGTAGTACACCGTACTGAGTTGAATAGGAATGACAGCTTCTAAGACAGCCTTTAATTTGGTATTCAAAACCAAAATGGTAAACTTCGGTTTTGTTTGGTAGCTTCTGAGAACAGGCAGGATATACAGTAGCATTTTTAAAAGATGCTAATGACTTGAAAGAGGAGATGGAAGTCAGGCATACATTTTAATTATGGGGGAGGGGTTGCGATAGGAAAACGGGGGTTTTTTCACTGCAGAGATTTTAAGGGAATGAGACAGGGAAAAACAGACTGAAGATAGTTGCCTTCATTTGGCAGGGGTGTTTAATAAAAGCAGAACTTGTGGTTGTAAAGTGTGCTTATTAAATTCTTCATTTACACTACCTAATTAATTCTAGCATTTTAAATTAACAGTGAAACTGGTCCCTGCTGTACCATTTCATAGCTACAGCATATTTCGTCCAACAACCCAGTTGTTCAGGTTTAATCAGCTGCTCTCAAAAAATGAGAAGGAACTTGAATTAAAAAAACCTAAATGGCATAAACATTTTAGAGCAGCGTTAGATGGAGAGAGGTGACTTCACAGAGGAATGCTACAGCTGCAGATGGATGTGAGGCTCAGCCCTTACAAGTGATGCCTAAGCTCTGTAGTATTGAGGATGTCCTTTATTTCTTTTGTCCAGAGAAAGCCAGTGATAAATATCTTCCTGATTTAGGGAAGGACAGGGCTTGAATGCATCAGAAAACTTTGAGAGAAGAAATGCTGAACTTGTTTTGTCCCATGTTTAAAAACAAAAGATCCAGTCATCATAGTGTCTGTCAGAGACACTGTAGTTGCTACTGGCCAAGTGAGTTGTCCTTGTTGACATAGATCGTGTGTGGGAGATGGGGATGTTTGTTACGAATTTTTTAATTGATTTGGAGGCCTTAGCTGAGATCTAAAGGGTTATATATTTTTGTTTCTCTGTAATCTGCTCAGGAATTCACTCCTCGGAATCTTCACAGGATTGGTATCTAAAAATCTTTGGATCCCAAGTAATCTTTCATATCTTGCAGCAGTCCAGGCGCACTGTAAAGCTGAATGCTTATTGATACAGGGTTTCTGTGCATCACTTAACTTATGACAGAGTTTGCATATTCCTGCTGTGTGGTACAATTTGATGTTCTCTGCATGCATAATCAGGAACTTCATTGCTCCTCTGTCCAATATGCAACTCTGTTTTTAAATCATTCCTTTTGAATTTGCAATTCTTTTAAGATTATACACAAAGATTTACATCTTTCGTTTTAATTTTAGGTATTTATAGTAAGACTGATGTAGACTTAGATTAAAACTACAGTTGAGAAATAATCATGGCATTGTAAGTGTAGTATAAATATTGATGATCCCAGTGAAAATCCAGGACAGGAAAGCTATTGGCTCAAAGCAGAAGCATTTGTGTGTTGTCACATGTTAGGAGAGGAAGAAATACTGACCGTTTGACCTACACTCCTCTTCAGCAATTATGGATTGTCCATTCCTCACCTTCAGATGTTCAAACACACTGTCCAATATCCAAAAGCTAACAAAAGGGCAGAGTCAGAAATAATGCAGCACAGGTGAGCAGTGTCCACTGCTCATTTCTCCATAAAGACCAGTAAATTCCTACCTGGGGAGGATGCGCTGGGTATGCTCTGAGCAGGCCACCAGGAACCTTTTCTGGTCCAAAAGTATGTCCACACTGTTAAGTTGGCATCATCTGCCTACTATGAAATTACTTTCCTATCTCCCAGTATGATGAACAGGTTACCAGCATGTACCAAAAAGGTGCTGCTGTAA